TGCAGGGGGTGACTGTGGGCCAGGACCGACGAACCTAATAGCAACTAAAAGCAGCATGAATGTGTGTGCACACACACGCGCACACACTCAGATCTCATTTGGTTTCCACTTTCTTCCAAAGCTGCTCCACGGAGCAATCGATAGATACATTAGTCACACCGTCGTCTTTTTTTGCACCGGAAGTAATATGTACAAGCAAATATTTAGGGATCAAAAAGAGTATTTAAATTTTCCTTAAATAGGTGGAGTTCCCTGTTTCTGAGAACTGGAGTAACATGTTTCATAGACTGACATGGTGACCTGTCCCTTCCCTGACGTCATCTAGAAGCGCTCACAAACAGGCTTCACCTGGGGAAGGAGGCATGACCTCGTTTGGAGGGGGGGAGCTCTGTTTATACGTTGGATGACTCCTTTTAGTTTTGCAAATGATCTCTTTGGCGATGGTCCAGACAGGCTTAGTGAAGGGTGTGACCACGCAGCCAGCCAACTGTTTGCATGGCCAGCACCTTCCCCTCAGGTGACTCTGGAGAGAAACCACCTACCCAGGTGCTCTCCCCTTACAGGGACAGACAAACATAGACAGCGGTTTGGGGTACAGGCGTGATCTCTTTCAGTCAGTCGCATATGTTAATTCCAATTTGTTATTAAAAAGAAACAAGGGACCTGGTTTGGGGTTCAGGGTCATGGATTCATGTGACGGGCAAGGGAATTCATTAGCCTAGTAACATGCTCGGGGATTCCGCTCTATCTCAGCGTCTGTCTGGGGCAGTACAAGTTGGAGGAGGCACACTGATTGTCCTTTGTTTCCTGTAGCAACACAAGGTGAAGGAGAGGCCGGAACAGGAGGACACGGACCATGCGGCCAAGTGCCGCTATGAGCAAACAGCTGCCTCGTCTGCCGTGAAGACTGGAGGGAATGGATGGTCCCCGACTACTGTTACTGAGCCCTCTGGGGGCAGGTGGCTTTCCTGCACACATCCACAGTCCACAGGCAGAGCGGGCGCAGAGAAAGGCAGGCAGGAGCAGGCTGGTCTGGTCCTGACCGCACTGTGGTTCAGTGTCCCCTCGCAGGGCGGCAGGCTCCCAGGCCCCGCCCCTGTCCCCGGACACTGACCTGATGAGGATGCACTGGCTGTCCTGCCGCTTCCAGAGGCAGCGGTAGCACTCGTTGGCCACGGCGAAGATGTGGGGCGGGATGTCCCCCAAGTGGTGCCGGCTGTACTGCTCCATGGTGGCACGCTCGTACAGGCCCGGGAGTGGCTTGTAGGGGTTCACGGAGGCGATGATGGAGCCGATGTAGGTCTGCAAAGACATGGCACGAGGTTACACTCGGTACTTGGCGGGTGGGGGGGGAGGTCCTGGCCAGGGCCACCCCTCTGTCCATTCTGGATACAGCCACCTGCTCCATGGGCTCCTCTCCGAGGCAGCCCGGTCACTGCCCAGTGGGGTAACAGCCTGAAGCAGCTCCCACAACTCCACCGCATTGACCGGACCTTAGGCGGAAGGGGATGTCCACTCCCCACTACACACCTTTCCGTTTGACATGAAAAAACCGGGTCACTCTGCACCCACGAGGGCGGCCAAGGAGAGCCATCCCAGTGCAGGCCCCGTGACCTCTGACCTCCCTTTCTCTTCCCCAAAGCAGTCCCAGCCCCTTCCTTTCAGGGGACCCACTGCCGTGGCAGAGCGAGGGACGGAGAAAGCACACTTCTGAAACTACAGTCAAGCCCACAAAAAACTGTCTGAGGAACAAAACCAAACGGCGGGCCACTAACAGAGAGCGAGGACCCGGAGCTCTGTCTCACATGCTTTGGGCATGTCGTCGAGAGAGACCAGTCCCTGGAGACGGGCATCATGTGTGGCAAAGCGGACGGGCAGGGAAAAAGAGGCATGCCCCCCAGGAGATGGACTGACACGAGGCTGCAGCAATGGGCTCCGGCGTGGGAACGACAGGGAGGAAGGCGCAGCGCCCGGCAGAGGTTCGCCCTGTGGTTCAGAGGGCCGCTTGGAGTGGAACCGGCACCACGGCACCAGCCACCTCGAGCCCAGAGGGCGACGACGGAAGCCACAAGGCAGCGCCCTATGCAAAGCCGCCCGGTCTCGCTGCACTCCCAAACTGTCTCATAACTGCACCAGCACGTAGCTGGCTGACAAGCCACCCTGGAGATTAGGGCAAACTCTCCTCAGTTTGCAGGGCAGAGGTACAGCGTCAGAAAGGTCCAGTGCCCTCGCGTCCTTCCAGACGAACCTGGGATCGCAGGAGGCCATGAGAGACGGGAACCAGCGAAGAACCAGCCCCGGGCTGGATTCTGCAGAGCGCAGGAGAAGCCTGGTGCAAAGCCCCACCGGGTGTCAGCGTGCCAACCTTCCACCGTCTCTGCTTATACTTCGCAGGGAAGGTGCCCTCGTGGAGTAGTGGCTACCTGTCCCGCAAGGTCGGCCGTTTGAAACCGCCAGCCGCTCCGAGGGATAAAGACGAGACTTTCTACTCCCGAGAAGCGTGACAGTCCCTGAACTCCCAGGGGCAGTTCCCGTGTCCAGCAGTGTGGCAACGGGCAGGAACAGACTCAATGGGTCTTCAAGAGAAGGATAAGCAGGTCTGGCTGCTGGGTCTCCAGGCCCAGACAGAACCGAGGCAGCAAACGTTGGGGGGGGATGGGGCTGGGGCTGGGGCTGGGGCCACCGCCCACCCGCCAGCTGCTACTGAGCCAAACTTATGGGGCCCGGCCTTCTTTACAACCAGGTTTACGAACAGTTCTTACAGACATGAGCCAAATTGACACGTGACCAGACGGCACATTTTCTTTCAAAATTAGCTTACTTTATTTGAAAACAACATTCTTGTCCACAAATAACTTGTAAAGGAAACTGTGGTACTATATATAAAATGTATAACTAGCATGATCAACACTCAAGATACTGTCAGTCAGTATGACCATCTCCATTGCATTGTCTGCTTTTCTACCTGGACTTCTGGACGCTGTTTCTATTTGTGACTGAAGTCATGCTTTCATGAAGGAAAGTGATTTACTGGGGTTCCTACTCAATTTACGTTCATGAAAAAGCTGCGGTTCTCAACCTGGGGGTCGAACGACCCTTTCACAGGGGTCGCCCGATATATAACAGTAGCAAAATTACAGTTAGGAAGTAGCAACGAAGATAATGTTATGGTTGGAGGGTCACCACCACATGAGGAACTGTATTAAAGGGTAGCAGCATTAGGAAGGTGGAGAACCACTGCGTCAAATCGACGTATATCTGTAGAGACCGGTATGTGGCACAGGGAATTTCGAGATGAGAAGGCTTAGAAGAAAACGAATTTGGATACTGTCTCTTTAAATGGGCAAAGGCAGCACAAGCGGTAGGGGGCAGAAGTCAAGTCTCTTCAGTGTTCATTGAGGAAATCAAACGGTGTCTGAATGATGCATCCCTTAAAGCAGCATTAATCCACCTCGTCACCCTACCTGGTAATCGCCACACCCGACCACACCTGCCGTGGATGAAGAGGCATGTGGTGGTGGTCCAGGTGTGTGCTGTCAGGTACAGCCAACTGGGGGGCTCCGTGACCACAACGACCTCAGAGGGCTCCCTGGCTGCTAGGTGTCATCGAGTTGTGGCTACTTACGCCCAGTAGAACGAGACACTGCCCAGACCTGCGCCCTCTTCACCATCGTCCCTATGACCGAGTCCCTTAATGCAGCCACTAGGTCAGTCCATCTCGTGGAGGACCTGCCTCTCTTTCTCCGCCCCTCCACTTTACCAAACATGATGTCCTTCTTTGGGGACTGGCCTCTCCTGACAATATGTCCAAAGTACGTGAGACGAAGTCTTGCCCAACTGGCCCTTCTGGGGGGCTCTCCTGGGCTGTGGATTTTACAGGGACAGACCAGCAGGTGCTTCCTCCCGCCACCCTCTCAGTTAGCAGCCGGGCACTCGGGCACTGCGCCACCAGGGCTCCTTGGCTGAGGCAGAGCGAGAGAAAAATAACTCGTGTACAGCCACCCAGCTAGCCAACGGAGAACACTGACCAGACCACGGGATGCTAGCACACCAAACAGGTACTCTCAGACAAAGCACAGCTGGATTTCCTGCTCCTTAGAAGGGAGGCTGGGGACACCTCCTCTTCTCGAATTTGGATGTGTGATTAGGAGAGAGGGCATCTTGGTGGGCGAGGTAGAAAACCAAAGTCAAAGGCCCTGCCATCCGGTCTGCCCCGACTCACAGCAACCCTAGAAGGGCAGGACAGAAGCGCCCGTGAGTTTCTGGGACTGGGACTCTTCACGGGGGTAGAAAGCCCCATCTTTCTCCTGCAGAGCGATGGAGGCGGATCGACACGGTGGCTGCAACCACGGGGTCCCCCGTGAAACCGCCGTGCAGGCCCGGCAGTGCTTCCTTCTGTCTCAGGGGCCCCGGGAGCCGGCAGACAAACGGAGATCTGACCCTGCCCGGCCGAGTCACAGGCTTCTCTGCGCACTCACTGTGCGCTGTGGCGGCAGCGGAGGAAAAGGAAACCTGGGGAAAAGTGAGTCAGGAAGCCCACGCATCTGCGGTGTATTACAGCAAACTGGTTAATTCCAGGCCCTGCCCGGGACCACGGAGTAGCCTCTCAGAGGCTCGGTGTAACTGTTTTCAAACACGAGGAGGCCAGTCATGCGCTTTAGCAATATTTTCAGCCACAAGAGCTGAAAAACCAAAATGATGTCTTGTTTCCACGGTCTACTGCCGACTTCCGTGGGAGCTCTGAGTCTCTGGGAATCTGTAGCCTGGGGCAAAGGGGGTGACGGTCTGGCCCAAAAGAAGGACGTGGTTGCAATGCCCCGGAGGGTGCCAGCCACCCGTTTTTGCTCAGACCACAATGTTCCAGTGCCTTCTTTCCTGCAACTCTGGGAGAGAATGCCCGAGGGTATGAGCGCTGGCACCTCCCATGGTGCTGTCTTGGGAACCAGGTCCTCCCTCCTCCTGCTGGCACTCTGGGCTGGGCACGGGGCTACTAATTGCAAGGTCCATGGTTGCACCGGGTGTAGCTGCCTTAGCAGTTCCCTGCTTCAGCTTGCAAGATTGACTTCCTACAAGACATCCCCAAGGAGAAGCCACATGGACCTATCCCGATGCAGCCCTGGGTGCTGGAGCAGCCGTGTGGAGACCCCTGCTAGTGCTGAGATGCTTGTTCGTTCACTGACTCAGCTTTCCTCCTGCAGTCGGCATCATTGCCTCTGTTTTGTGAGGTGGAGGACTTTGTGGACTGGTGTTGGGTTAATGGGTTAATGTTGGACTTGTGGGCTTGGGCAGCATTGGGTTGGGATGTTTTCGTGATGCACAATTTCTTTACATAAAACTCTCTCTTATACATGAGTCGCTGTGGATTTGTTTCTCCAAAGTACCCAAGTCCATAAGTCTGATATTAGCCCATATGTCCGATACCAATCTATAAATTCCTCTTCAGACTCATGAAACTCATGCAATGACGCCGAATGCAGGACGATCACAGGCCAGTGAGTGGAAAGTCTTGTGGATCCAGTGGCAGTATAAGCACCTCAGCGCTGGCAGGGATCTCCACGTGGCTCCTCCAGGTCTGAGGCTCTGGCTGCCATCAGCCTGTCTCCATGTGGCCTGTCAACAAAAATGTCTTGCAGGAACAGAACATGTATGTCCTGCCTCCAACGAGCTATTTATTTCTTTAGTGCCTCCAAATGAGGTCATCAAGCTGTGACCCGATTGACAAGCCAAACTCCACCCCTTCACTCCTAAGTCTCAAATGGACAACAGATTATGTAATGACCACATCCTGCCTGCCCCAAGAGCCCATCTGCAGGTGCTGGGGACCCCTGCACTCGGTCTCATGTGTATAGAGCACAGGCCAATCTTCTCAGCGGCAAATGGACAGCTGACGCTTGTCTTTTACAAAACCTATCATTAAGGAAGTCCTGGTGGTGCAGTGGGTTAGTGCTGGGCTGCTAGATGCAAGGTCAGAAGTTTGAAATCACCAGATGCTCCAAGGGAGAACGAGGTGTTCTACCCTCGTAAGGAGTTACAGTTTCAGCGACCCCTAAGAACCGTACTACACTGTCCTGCAGGGTCAGGATGAGCTGGAAACGACTCAGGAGCAGGGATCCTTTTTTCCTCGGAGGCTGCTAACGACAAGGTGGGCAGTTTGAACCCAGGAGCCGATCTGAGGGAGTAAGGTGAGGCAGTTTGCTTCCACAAAGATTGTATCTCTGAAACCCTGGGGGGTAGCGCTGTTGTCCCAACGATGACGAATCGGGAGCAACTCGAGAAATGGGCTAGCAGGTGCTGGGGCTTGG